AGGTTTTCAATGGTGGTCTAACATCAATCGGTTCATGATCTCAATCGAAAACTTATTAATCTCCACAACCCCTATACTAGTATATTAACAAGTGAAGAGAGAAGCTTTTAAATTCAAATCGGTGTTGAACAGTATCATTAAGATGAAGATAAATCTAGCGGATCGATAAGGATTAAGACGAAACATATGACTTGAATTTCACTATTGGTTTCAATCAAACTATCATATTTATCAATGATAAGGTGGATATTTTTTTGGAAATCAGATAACTTGTTACCTAATTTCGAAGTGATAGATTGAAATGATAATGATTGTAATATTAATTATTAAAAAAAAGCGAGACTATAATTTATGGACGAATCAATCAGATTTATGATAACAGATCCTGGATTTCAGCGCGAAATTCACCCATCTATTTGGCTAAATAGAATCTTGCTATTATAGTTGATGTCAGTACATGATGAACATTATAAACCTAATTTCTAACCCCTCACCATTGATTGTAAATCATAATCCTTATTCTTTAAACTGCTTTGTAGCTCATATTTAGCGCTAATAAGTAGGTAGACATAATCAAGGTCAATTTGGCGTCGATAAAAGATCGTTCACAAATGATAGTCGCACCAAAAAACGCATATGTAAACTATGATATTGGCTAGGATTGGTTGCAATAGCACAGATAAATTTATATTTTGTTGCTTTTTAATTCTCCATTACACTCTTTGTTCTATGAATTCGTTCTGTTGGAGAGATTTAGAAAATTCCTCGAAAAAAAGCCAAAAAACGGCTATGAAAACGTTGAGAAACATTTTATGCAATCAACATTCAATAGAAGTCGTGTCAGAAACATCTATAAAGTGAAAAATAACATGACGTGTTTTTTGATTGGATGATTACTTATACTGCTACTATGTTTAATCGCGCTCCAGAAATTTCCGGAAGCTTAAGGTCATCTTAAATACGATAAATATCTTAGATTTTCTGTACATAAACAAACCTTAGAGTAAAATGTTTCTTCCTTATTTCGCGCTTTTTCTCTCGTGTTCAAGTCTCTGTGTAGTATTAACCTGAGGATTACTAGAAGAGCTCAGAAATTGAATCAAGCATTCAATCAGAAGACTTATTATATTCTTTCTATTCGAATTAGACTCTCTCCTAATTTGTCATTTGTCTTTCAACTCACTTTCCTGATGTAGTGTGGCAAGTTAAAACAAGGCATAGATGTGACAGGTACTATGTTTCTTATGACTGAATAACTGAAAATGTCCTAGATAATCATCGTTTCATTTTGCAAAACTGTAAGAAAATCAAAAACTTATGATATTTCAATGAACAATTGTCTATACTAAATAAATAAAACTCTTAAGCATACAATGAAATTATAAGATGAATTACTGGTGTTAAGCGTTCGCACGCAAGACTGAATGTCGTGATTTCGAGTCTCGCGAACGGGATCGTGGATGCGGATTGATGAGGAGTCCCACAATAGGACGAAACGGCCATCCACTGCTTCCAGGTTTTCAATGGTGGTCTAATATCAATCTATTCATGATCTCAATCAAAAACGTAATAATCTCAACAACGCTATGCTGATAAATTTTGTGCTCTGAGCTGGATGGTTTAATCGTGGGGATTTCATCAATCTTCTGAACAGCATCATTAGCGCAAACTTCAGCTATCCGAAGTTGTTGCTGTTCAAAAGAACGATGAAAGCTCCACAACCAAACCATCCAGCTAAAAGAATAAAACACCTTCAAAATCATTCACTTGAGTTACAAATCCTTTCCACTATTAATTTTAAAGTTAAAAACACTTTGGTTAAAATGAACAAGTAAACTGGTAGATGTAAATGGGCCGTTGCTTGTCCCTTGTAGTGCTGGCTACTATGGTAAGTCCATATACCTTATTCTAGCTTCTGGACAGGCACGTTTTCCATTCTTCTCGAGTAATGTCTTGACCTTGTTAATTATTCGCTTATCAATCCTGACTGTTTTTATGTGAGCGTTTGTGTGTACACTTATCATATTCATCACATGTCTGTAACTTGTTTTTGTGCGATTATAAATACCGATTAACGTTCGATTAAATTGAGTTGGCTCAAAAGCCATCTCCGCTGAGCGTCATTTCACTTCGCTCTCTTCTCTTAGCTTCATTCCCTGATTCCCTGTTCAAATCAATGAGTGCATGATTTATACATATCCAAGATTCATTCTCCTATTTAACTTATTTAATTCCGTTATTCACTAACGTGATTTAAGTCGATAATTTTATACCAGGATAACCGGAATGTATATTTCTACAACAATCAATCATACGATATAACTGAAGTCAGATCCCGGGCCATTAAACTTTGCTTATAACTAGCATACGAGGACATATTTCAGTGTGGTTCTACAAGAGTTAGTCGCTCTGTACTTAAACATATGATCGGTTTTAATCACTCAACTGATTCATAAGTCCATTTTAAGGTTATTTTCAGAAATCGTCCAATCCATTAAGATTCCTTCATATTTTACTCCTTAAAACAACAGAAACTCTCGTTATCTATGAAATGGAATCGGTTCTGTGTGTACAAAAGAAGTACGAATCCGTAATTACGTAACATGTATTGTTTCTGCTTCTGAGAAAAGGGTTCGCAATTAATCAGCAAATAGATACAAGTTAATCAGGATGATTTTGAAATTTAGACTGAATGTTAACTCATTAGTGAAATATCTTCTGCTTCCAAATTTATTGTCATTTCGATGAATAAAACCATAATTTCACACAAACCTTCACATGGCATAACTACCAGTTCACATTGTTTGTATCGACATATATTAATAGAAGATACAGGTGTTTATTAACAGTTTTCTACGCAAAATACTTCGGATCCGTTTGCTGGACACCATTAGCAACAACGAACTGTGGAAAAGAACAAACCAGATCCCAGAGGAGGAAGAAATAATGAAGAAGCGTTGGAAGTGGATAGGACACACATTGAAGAAAGCACCCAACTGCATGAAAAGACAAGCCCTCACATTGAATCCCCAAAGCCAAAAGAGGAGGAGTGGAAGACCAAAGAACACATTACGCCGGGAAATGGACATAGACATGAGAAAAATGAACAAGAATTGGATGGAACTAGAAAAGCAGGTCCAGGACAGAGTGGATTGGAGAATGCTGGTCATTGGTCTATGCTCCATTGAGAGTAACAGGCGTAAGTAAGTATGTAGTATTAATAGAAATGACTATACTATCTAAAAAAGGGTTGTGGAATACGCAAGTGAATGAGCTCAGAATCAGTTATTGCCAAGCACTAAGGCTATCAAACGCGAACTCCTCATTAGCTAAGCAAATAATCACAGATTTTAAAGCGTTGTATGGATATTATCAGAGGTTTAACCTTAGATTTTCTGAACCTATGAGTGTTAGAAATTTCAATCTTCCCTTGTGTATACAGAAACAATTTGTTCCAAACTACGATTAACCTTGATAATCTATTTTAGGGCATGAGGTTCTATGACAATGTTTTATTGTTTCCGTATTATATAATCACTCTCTCTTCCATTTCCAGTTAACACCTTGTTTCGCCTGGCAATCTGGTCCAAGATTTTTCATGGAAATATATCTCCTTGGACATATTTCCTTGAAAAAGCTTGGACCAGGTTGCCAGGCGAAACGTTGAATTTACTTCAAGTTCTTTCCCCGAGATTTTACAAACACATTCTTTCTCGTTGATGTCTCACATAAACTAGGCGCCCAAATACTGTGAAACTATTCAATCAAATTTAGACGAAAGTTCTTATTTATTACAACACTTTTTGTTTATTTCATTTTCTTGTTTTAGTTAATTGACCTACATTAGTTTTCATACATAAACATCTTGACAAGATTAATGTAATCGTTTGTTTAAGGAGTTGGGAGATATGTGGCATTGAATCAATCGGTTTCGCTCAGATCTATTTGCTCTTTGTCTTATCTTAGATGTTGAGTTTCAAAATTATCTTATACATTTTGTTTCATTAATTCATTATTCCTTCTCGAATAGTGCTTTTACTCTGATGGTTTTTATTAACATTAACACTGTTACCATTTCTGCAACTCTGGGATTTGTCTCAATAGTTTTGTTTGTCTGTGCTTATACACATAGTTTCCTTGATCATTTTGTCTGTGCTTATTTGGTATGGTGAATTGATTTAAAGCACGCATGGGCCAGATTCTGCGCTGCTTATGATTGAAACATTCAGAACAAGATAAACATCACGCTTATTATTCACTCAATGAATATCTCAGTCATTTGAAAGATGTTTCATGACCTAAATAGATAAGTGGTGACGACACTGACTATAACACTGGCTAATATTGATTTGCATATCAAGTTAACATCATTCCATCTAAATAATATTGATAAGTCTTGTCGACTGAACGCTATATTCGTCTCCTAAGTTATTCTGTAACCCCCAAACTAGGACTAGACAGTGACCTGAACACGAGAGGGAAGACTCAAAGTATGCGAGAAGTAGTTCACTCCAAGGTTCATTTTAATACAGAAAATACAGGGTTTTTATAATATTTTAAATGTCCTTCGGCTGCTAGAAGATTCTGGAATGCCACTAAACATAGTAGCAGTGTAGCAGTCAAGCAATCAAAGCCTCTGCATGAGGCGATTCGCTTCCATGATATTTTTTGGCAAAAACTCCAAGTGAACGCTGATTGGAGGAAACGCTTCTTAGTGTTTCCTAATCCTTGCTTGTCTTTTGCAAGCAATTTTCTGGATCACCCCAACAAATATAGTCTTTATCATAACAAGAACTAAAGTGACCGTCTTGTCTTCTTTCGATACTCTCATAATATTAACATCGGGACTAGAAATCGATTATAACGTTTAAAACGCCAGGTGGATTGTCTCTTGAGCTTCTGAGTCATCTTGTTGTCAATAGTTCCCCATATCGTCACATCTACATATCATATAATTTTTTACTGATTCATTTTCTCTTTATTTCATTAATGTATTTTAGGCATATGGAATCGTATGGAAAGCGATCAATCGAAAGACAAAAGAAGTTGTCGCTCTAAAAAAAAATTTCGATGCATTTCGTAATCAAACAGATGCTCAAGTTAGTGAAATACGACTATCATTTTTATATATTTTAAACAATATTTCATTTTAAGCAAAAATGGGTAGTGACTAGCAATGGAATTCAAGATGCGCGTTTTGCGATATTTGCGACTCCTCACCAGGATGTGCTTGCATTCTAAAGTTGATGTTCACTCCGGGACTCGAACTCTAGAATGAAGGACCATCCAGCTGACGAGTTCCAATTAGGACGAAACAAGCGTCCTAGATTCCACTGTTAGCCACTGTCCATCCGAACAGGATGTACATATGCCAATAAGCGAATGATCACTTGCAATCCTAAACATCTGTAATAATCACAATCAGCTATTTTATTATTTGTATACTAAATATAATTTAGACACCCAATCCACTATGTAAATTCATGTGTGAGTCTGATTGAGCTGAACGCGTATATGTACATCAATCTCTAATCTATTCTTCCATTCGTTGTAATGCACAGACAATCAATGATTTATCCACAATCGATTAAAATTCATTAATACATGTGGGTTTTTAACACACACACACACACACACTCTCACTTGTTTCCTTATGTGTTTGTTATCAGCACTCTTGCGGATTTTACTAATCTTTACCAATAACCTGTCTCTATAATTGGTGTTGGGGCTTTTGAATAATCTCGAGTAAATCCATAATTCAACTAGGAGATTTAGCCTGTGTTAAAGACTCAGTTAACGGGATACTATTTCTTGGAGTCAGATATAGAGGAAATTAACCTCTACACATCAATGGTAGGATTTAAGCATACAATACAAAATGAATTGACTATGTCGTTTTGTCTTTTTTTGTCTGTTTCACTTTCCGCTTCTATATTTTTTCCTCTCTTTCCTTCACTTTCATAGAGAACATTTCGTGAAATTGCATTTTTACAAGCGTTTGGTAATCATCCAAATATTATTGGTTTATACAATGTAATACGAGCTGAATGTGACAAGGATATCTACTTAGTATTTGAATACATGGGTAAAAAATGAATTTATTGATTGAACATATAAATTTCCATAGTTGAAATCATGAGTCAATTAAACCTAGACCATCATAGAAAACCTGAAAGCACTGGATGGCCTTTTCGTCCTATTGTGGGACTCCTCGGCAGTAAGTATCCACGATCCAGACTCACGAGATTAAAACCTAGGATCTATTGGTCTCGTGCGCGAACGCTTAACCTCTAAAACACAATGGGGTTAATGTCTTACTTTAACTAATCCACGTTACTGAATGACACATCCACCAATAGGTCCTGGGTTCAAATCTCGCGAGACGAGTTCGTGAATGCGAACTGATGAAGAGTCCCACAATAGGACGAAACAGCCGTCCAGCGCTACCAGGTTTTCCATGGTGGTCTGGCTCCAATTGACTCAAGATCTTAACTATTAAAATTACTGTAATATCCACAAAACCCCTTTTGATATAAATTTTCTCTTTTTCATAATTCAATTTAATAGAGACAGATTTACATAATGTAATTCGTAAAGGGAACATTTTGAAAGATATACACAAACAGTATATTATGTATCAATTATTTAAAGCAACTGCATATTTACATTCTGGGGAAGTGATTCATCGAGATTTAAAGGTGAGTTTAATCAAAAAAAGATTTAAAATAAATTTCTGTTATTTTCTATACATATTACAAGACTTCGTGAGGGAATTCTCGGAGTTCTACTGAGAGGCCATGACCAGTGTAGCTAGTCCGTGTTGGGTAGAAATAGGTATCTACCTCAGCGTAATGGAAGATGGTCGCGCGATTTTGCGTTCGCACGCGAGACTGAAGGCCCTGGGTTCGAATCCGGCGAGCGGGCTCGTGGATGCGCACTGCTGAGGAGTCCCACAATGGGAAGAAACTTTCGTCCAGTGCTTTCAGGTTTTCTATGATGGTCCAACATCAATCTATTCATGATGTCAATCAAAAACCTTATAATCTTCACAATCCTATTACTGAGAAATGAATAAGTTTTATTTGAGTTCGTTTTAATTTGTCATTGATATTTATTAACGATTAGTTTCATTTTGTAATGATTGACATTGAATGGTTATTGTGAAATAACACGAATTAATTGAAGTTAGAAATATTGCTGTTCAATACTTTGAGGTTAGACGTGATAACTTAAAGTTTTGGATTTGATTCCTGATGAGGTCGTAAGTGTGCTTAGGTGGAAAGAAATGACTGTTCATTGATTCTCATTTTTAAATGGTAGTCAAATGGGATCAATCTGTAACGAATATGAACCTTATAGATAAGGATTTATTTTGAAGGTGAAGGATATCACGTTTGGGTAATCAGCATTAACGAGTAAACAATAGATAGATATTTTGATTTCGAATTTAAGACTGTTTAATTTCATTAGGAATGTAAGTTAATCTGGATTTTTAGTACGAGTTTATAGAGATTATTAAATTTCACTGAAAACATAAACCGATCTAATTTAAACCAACACTGAATACCTAGAAGCACTAGACGGCTTTTTTGTTCTAATATGAGCACCACACATCACTATCCCCAATGAGGGACTTGAACCAAGGACCTTCGGTCCCACGCATGAAACCCCAATCTTTGGACCACTGAGCCGGCATTCGCAAACGGCATGGTGGATGCTCACTACTAAGAGGTCATCCAGTGATTCCACGTCTTCAGTGGTTGTGTAAATGGGATCGGTTCATGATTTATTTGTGATCTAGATTTTGATTACTGTTGAAACTTTATGTAAAATTATGATAATTTATATTTTCGAACAGCTGTATATTTCAAATGAAAAGAATATAGCTATCTTCAGTGAAACTTAGTATACCATTAAAATTAGTAAACAAGTCATTTACATCAAAAGAGGTTTTGTAGATATCATGGTTATTTTATTAGTTGAGTCAATTAAAGATAGACTATTATAGAAAACCTGGAATCACTGGACTGCCGTTTCGTCCTATTGTGGGACTCCTTAGAAGTGCGCATCCGCGGACGAATAAAGACTCAAACTTCATAAATTCATTATTTTTTCCATAGCCGAATAAGTCTCAATCTAACAAACGATGAGATTAATGACATGATATCTGAAAATCTTGAATTGAATCTGGTTTGTGATGTTTTACTATTCTCTCATTTGTATTGTTTCTACAAATGACGTCCACATGTGACAGAAATTGCTTCAAACTTACAAAATCTTTTCCATTTATGTTCTGGCAGTGTCTTTAGTTAATGCCTGTGTGATACGTTCTACTTAATACATGAATATACTACACAATCCACATATATATACCAGGTTCTCTACACTGTATACAACTGAGTGATCACTAGTTATAAAACATTTATAGCTTTACAGTTTCAGTGTTTTAGAATATGTTTACCCAAGATTAATGTTTTTTCACCACAGATCTTCAAATAGTTACTTTGAGATAAACTGCTTAGAATTTATCAAACTGATACATCAAACATTTCAGAGGGACGTCGAAAGAGGGAGAGAGAATGTGTGTGTGTGTGTGTGTGTGGGATAGACTTTCTTTTTATTTTCAACCAATAAGTCTATCGAATGATATAGGTTTACAATAAAAATTACCGGATCGTTGTTCCTACCTTGATGTAGTTGTCAGGCTTGACTATCGTGATGAACCAACCGAGCTATACTGGCTGGAACAACCATTCCTCAAGGTCCTACCATGTCAGACAGGTCGGTTGAAGAGCAGTGAGACTAAAAGCAACAAACCCAAGGTCCGAAGGCGAAGTCGTGCTGCTGACTGTACAGAAGTGTGACAGCAGTAAGGCGTTTCCTCCAGACAAACAGCATGACAGCGACGCTGCCTTCCCACAAGGTTGAGTGGGGTTAGAAAAGGTCGACTCTAAAAATGCACACCTCACCTTATCCCACGAATATCCGTCTCCGGTGGTATGGTCCCAACAAGCACGGAGCTAACACAAAAATTACTCATCAAAAGTCCGTGTGTGACCGACCTCAAGCAGTTGTCTCTTGGGCACTGCGGTCGCGCTCTCAGGTCACTAAGATCACCTCTAATCCAAATTCCTTTTCAGGTACCTCTAGAAGAACCTTTCTACGGTATGAGCGACCGGGAAGTTATAACCGCTCTCGTACCTCTAACATCACTCAAGACCACTGCATTCATAGTCAACTGACTGACTGAAAAATATTAAAAATGTAAAAAAAGAACTATGCAGTTACTTATTTATAAGAAATATTTAGGTTAGTACTTTACTGGCAATTCAGTTTGAATTCAATTAGAGTGGACGATTATGTTATTGACTAGGTTGTTGATTAGCTCACCATTTTTAGTGACCCTTTATCTGACTTCAAATAATTCGTTTGATGATTGAATGAGTGTTATTGAAATATAAATATCGTCAACCCTCGTATCGACTTAAATCGCGTTAAGTCAAATACGATCCAAACAAATAATCGATGAGAAACGAAGTGAAGAGAGTGAAGTGAGATGTTGCGCAGTGGAGAAGGCATGTGAGCCGATTCAATTTAATCAAGCGTTAATAGATATTTATAGTCAGAACAAAAATAAGCTATAGGCATTTAATGAATAGGATAAGAAGTGTACACACAAACGCTCATATAAAAACACTCAAGATTGACATGGTCAAAATGTGACTAAACAAGAATGGATAAACTGACCTGTCAAGAGGCTAGAATAAGTTGTGTGGGTTTAACATATTAACAGACAATGTAAGGTTGACCACTTATTTCAGTTTTAATCTGGTTATCTTCAAAGATAGATGAATGATTTTTGCAAGACAGATGAATTATGCTGAGAGAAGCTGTTATGATTTTATGTCCGGCTTTTATCACGTGATTTACCCACTAATCAAAATACGACTTATACAAATCTTCGCACCATGCCAAACCAATGACGTTCGACCGGTATGAGCAGCCTAGCGTTTTTATTGGTCCTATATCCGCCTAGCACGTCCACTTGAGTTCAGAATACAAATACCAGCTCCCGCTATGCGAATCGACTCGAATCATTTATTTCAGACATACTCGGTTTATATATCAACCAAACAGACGGTAACGCACCATAAAATAGGAAATAACATTTGTACAATATTTGGCCAAATTTAGCTGTGAGCGTAGGAAGCAGTAGTCAATAGACTGAACATAACTTGAGAACAGTAAATCGTACAATAATAATATAGAGGTCAAAATAAAGCTTATAATAAGAGGAATATAAATATACATAATCTAATTATTGAATAGTTATATAATAAGAATATTAGTCCATTAATAGTCGTCGGAAGTTACCCGTAATTTAATCTTCACTTGGATATAACAGAAGTATCATTGTAGAACACATTTATGTTATACCTCTAAATTTGAACTGGGTTCAACAAGACAAAAAATAAAGTACATTACTGCAAATCATGAAACAACCGTGAAACATTAACTCAAATGATTTATTTGTAAATAGACTTCATTCATGTTCTACATTCACAATAAAACATTCTTCAATCACTTTTCCTACAATAATCATAACTAATGTATATTTTACTTGTTTCCATTATTACATCTATTACAGCCATCAAATGTTCTACTGGATTCTGATTGTTTAGTAAAATTATGTGATTTTGGTTTAGCACGTTCATTAAAAGGTCGTAATATGAAATATGATAATGGTAATGGTAAAATCAATTGTAAAACATTACTACCTGCATTAACTGAATATGTAGCAACACGTTGGTATCGTGCACCAGAAATTCTATTAGCATGTCATGATTATACAAAAGGTGTGGATATATGGAGTTTAGGTTGTATCTTAGGTGAAATGTTAATTGGTACACCATTATTTCCTGGTACATCAACATTAGATCAAATTGGACGTATTATGGCTGGATTACCAAAATTAAGTAGAGAAGGTAAAGAGTTTTATATTGAACAATTAATTATTGATTAATATTTCTATTCACGTTTTAATCTAGAATATGTTTCATTGTAGCTCAGTAAAATTAGAAGAAACCTTATCTTTATTTAAAAACCGTACAACTGACTACTAATGTATATAGATTATAACCATTCCTTGACAGTTATTGCTACTAATCTTACTTACTTGCTAACACCTGTTACTACTCGTGGAGCAGGATAGGCCACCCATCAACACTCTCCATCCAACCTTGTCCTGGACAGTCGTTTTCAGCTCTTTCCAGTTGTTATTCATTCTTTTCATATCTACTTCTACTTCTCGACGCTATGTGTTCTTTGGCCTTCCTCTTTTTCGTTTCCATTCAGGATTCCAAGTTAGGGCTTGCCTCGTGATGCAGTTTGACGATATGCGTAATGTATGTCCTATCCATTTCCATCGTCTTTTCCTAATTTCTACTTCAGATGGGAGCTGGTTTGTTCTCTCCAACAGTAGGCTGTTATTAATGGTATCCGGCCAATGAATGTTGAGTATCTTGCGTACATAACTATTTATAAATACTTGTACCTTCTTGATGATGGTTGTAGTAGCCTTCCAAGTTTCAGCTGCATACGGTAGAACTGTCTTGACGTTCTTATTGAAGATTGTGAATTTGATATTGATTGAAAGTTGTTTTGAAATCCATATATTCTTCAACTATCGGAATGCTATCCTTGCTTTTTCGAACCTCGCTTTTACGTTTGCATTAGATCCTCCTTGTTCATCGATGATTTTTCCCATCTTTCAGAGTTTCGTCACCAAGGGTGATTGGGTTGGTGTTCTCCGAGTTGTATTTGAGGATTTTGGTTTTCCCCTTGTGTATATTTAGGCCTAGCTACTAATCTACCAATATATTTATTGACGAACTGTATAAAAGTAATATAACCAATTATAACGTGATGCTTCTACATATCCATAGATTTGGACAACTCTTTCTTATAATTTAGCTTATGACTATTTTTTGAAATCAGAACTCATTTGGTCTGTAGCTAGCCTGGTATCCTTTCGTTTAGACTATACGGACCGCCAAATATGCTGTAATGTATGCATACTATATACCAATAACACTTCACTCAACAAAGATATATCTTTGGATTATACTTTTGAGAATAAGATCATTAGAACAAATATTCATAAATATCAATATATTAGTGTTTTTATGTTGTTTAATAGAAAAGTAGTCGTAAACACATACATTTAAATGTATTCAGAAATGATGTATCATTGACGTGTTTCGATACAACAGTTTATACCCATCTGACTTTACAGCGATTGTTAAGACTCTGGTTTTGATCTTATATGAGGTTGAAATGAGGTGCACTACTTATTCAAAATATCATGGTTAAATGAATCAGTTGTTCCATACTCCTTGGATTTTAGTGAATTGTAGTCTTGTTAGTGTTTAAATCCCAAAACGCCCTTAGAAAAATCACCAGTGATAACCTGGGAGTACCGGAACACTTCTTTTTCCCAGCGTGGAACTGTTCAGTAGTTTATATCTTCGACTTCACAACCAGAGATTGAACTTAGGACTTTCAGTCTCACGCTCGAATGCTTAAACTCTACACTACGTAGCCGGTATCCGTTAGTGTTGTCTTACGCCAATCAGTCAACGATATTGGACGACTCTCATCCACTGTTTGCGGTGGATAACTGTCTCACACTCCACACGGATCGAACTGTACTAACAACTGAATCATTATCTGTTGTTGCTTTTTGATGAAACGCAATAGGAATCTTTACTACCAGAAAGGATCTGTTAGAGTTTCAGATCGTGAATTGACCCAAAGGACATAATAGACTAACTCTATTGAAGATATCGTAATTAAGTACATTGATGAAGTTGAATTGCTCAGAAAAAAGATCATAAGATTGTAAACAAGAAGTGTTTCCCATGTATTATCAACACAAATTTGAAAGGAAATGTGTAATTACTTTTTTAGCTTTAACATCAAAAATGTCATTTTTTGAAAATCACCATAAATATTCTACCACTGCTTATGTTACCAAGGTGTATGATTAATCGGGATCAATAGAGTATATGGACAAGTGTGAAACATATAAAGACCTCCGGAAATTGAAATAGCATGACGACGGAATTATGCAATGATGTTATTTATCAGAAGGGGTTTTGTGGAGATTTCAAAAATTTGACCGAGTGAAATCATGAATTGATTGAAGCCAAACCACCATGGAAAACCTGGAAGCACTGGACGGCCGTTTCGTCCTAGTATGGGACTCCTCAGTAGTGTACATCCACGATCCCGCACCCCGCAAGGTTCGAACCCAGGACCTATCAGTCTCACGCCAGGCGCTTAACCAACTAGATCACTGAGCTGGCCGGCATCCAACGGTGTTAATATCTAACTTCAACCAATCCGCAAAGTTGAGCCACCGTACACCATAGTCTTCAGTGAGTTGATATCTCACAACAGATCTGGTTGAACTCTACTGGTTAGGGATTCTCACCAGAACTCCAGGAGTATCTCTTGAAGTCAGTCACTAGTGAATAGATGATTACTATCAGAAAGGGTTTTGTGGAGATTTTAGAAATTTCATTGATTGAAAGGCCGTCCAGTGCATCCAGGTTTTCCATGGTGGTCTAGCTTCAACTGACTCATGATTTCAATCAGTGAATGATGTTATTTAACAAGCTGTATTACACCAGGTCATACCAATTGCGTTATTATTATATTTCGAGCAATATTAATGTCTAGGATTATGTAAAAATCTTTTTTAATTTAAATAAAGATCATTAGATTAATCAAATGTTAAGATTTGGATTCTTTTTGTTATGTGGTTAACGGTGCACTATGTTGATCCAGATGAAAAAATGATGTAGAATAATAAGTAGTATGTAGATTAGTGTATGAATCATATGTTTGACTATCCTAGTAATTAAATAAATAAGTATGGATGATGGCTAGTAATGGAATTCAGGACACACTTTTCGTCCTATTTCAAACTCGTCATATGGATGTACCTGAGACTCTGGGACTCAAACCCAGTACCTTTCCCTTCAAATATCATCGACTATCAGCAATCAGTAGATAAGTGGGTAACGCGTTAGAATTTAAAGCGAATGGTACTGGGTTCGAGTCCCGGAGCAAACATCAACTCTGCTAGCCACCATCTATCTTTGCTTATTAATCTTGTGAATTTAGGCAGTATCGAGGCCATCTGAAAAGGAATCACATATGAAATAAGAGACTGATCAATGGCATTCCTAAACATCAATAGGAGGATTGAAGATAACAATACGAATTGAATATAAAATCTCATTGTATAAAACATTTTGATCAGTTAAAACTAATCAGTAATGTTTATTCATATCATCTACTATAAGTATATGACCAATCAGACATAAGGTCATCATGTTGATATCAGTAGAAAATTCTAGAAAATAATGTAATATATGCTACTGATATCGACAGATATTAGTAGTATGTATCATCAATCGAACGTGAAATGGCTGATGGGAGAATGTTAAGTAGATCAAAGAGAAGAGAACAGTAACAGAGAATGATTAGTGTGAAAATGAAGGAATAATTAAGTCTGAGACATTTGATTGATACATTTCGAATAAAATATCTCAGAGATTGTGTAATTTTGTATTCAAATCCATTTGATTGTCCCCTACTTGTATATTCTCGTTCACTACAATAAGGTATCATTAACTTTCTTATCATAATATGAAGACATAAAAGCATAACCTTAAAATAAGAGAATATACTAAGAAACAACAACAACATCTAGAAGATCATGCTGTGAAATGATCATCAGATCGAATTATTTACTAATAAATCTCTTAAGCATATTACTCTCAACTCTTGAATAGGCTATAAATATCTATATATGAATGAATACACAACAATAACTCTCCTCTCTCTCTCTCTCTTCATTGTAATCATACTGCTACCCTATCGTGTTGAACTTGAATTGAACTCAATCAAATGAGTACTCGAACTGTTTAGATCACAGTATGAAATCGGTTCATTAGATCAGCTGAAAAACAAAAACTAGCTAATATTCCATGGAAATTTGATTTCTTTTTTATAAGTCATTTGTACTAAAACGAATAGATTATTTTAGTTGTATGCCTATTAAATAGTTAATTATTAAGTCAAGTAGTAGTTAAGTAGTTAGTTGAAGAAAAGATTAGATTTGTAAAGTAGGTAGTTTCCGATTAGTTCAAGGTTACTTATAGTCCAAATGAATAACTATACATCAATCTGTCAAGAAAACACATTCTTTTAAATAGGGGATTAACTGTGGTAAAATTATATGGAATATATAGTAGTAGTAGTAGTAGTAGTAGTAGTAGTAGTAGTAGTAGTAGTAGTAGTAGTAGTAGTAGTAGTAGCAGTAGTAGTAGTAGTAGTAGTAGTAGTAGTAGTAGTAGTAGTAGTAGTAGTAGTAGTAGTAGTAGTAGTAGTAGTAGTAGTAGTAGTAGTAGTAATATCGTATCCAATTCTTCATTGAACCATTGTTTCACCAATTCAAACTCTTTGAAATGTATACTACTCTTAACTTATGCATCTGAATCTTAAAAAGAGATTTTGGGTGTCAAGATGAAGAATTTATAGCCTAGAGAAGTACAGATATAACATGTGCTTATCTTTAAATATCATCCGAAGATCAAGTGGTAGATGAGAAGTTACAAACAAGAAGTTAATTAAGTTTCTAGTCGTGATTTCAAGATGTACGCTCTTGTTTTGGTCAAAAGAAACAATGTATTTACTTAATGGTTCCTGTACTTCAGTAAGAACCTTCTTGTTATCTCACAAACTTTCCACTCACATTGCTGGTTGAGAAAGTGTTTACAAAGCATATATATATATATATATATATATATATATATATATATATATATATATGAATAAGGCCTTGTGGATCGTACCAAAATGATTCTTATTAATTTAAATGTTAAACTGAATTATTAATTATAATTAGATGATCAAAAAAACGAATTCATATATTCAGCGTAGGGTTGTGGAGACTATTAAGTTTTTGATTGAAACCACCACCTAAAGTCTGGAATCACTAGACAGTCGTTTCGTCCCATTGTGGGACCCCTCAGTAGAGCGCATCTACGATCCTGCTCGCGAGATTCGAACCCAGAGCCTTCAGACTCGCGCGTGAACGCTTAACCTCTCGACCACTGAGCCTCTCGAGGGATCGTGGATGGGTATTGCTGAGCAGTTTCACAACAGAACGAAACGGCCATCCAGTGCTTGTAGGTTTCCAATGGTGGTCTCACATCAATCGGTTCATGATCTCAATCAAAGAATTCATATTTAATTTATCCAGTTACAACGTCATTCGAATTCAATAACTATTCACAAACTCTTATCATTTTTTTAGACATGGAAAGTATTAGAAGTCCATATAGCATTTCAATTTTGGAAAAAACCCATATCAAGTAAGTGGTATATTTTGAAAGTAATAATTAATATCGGTTGAGTTGTACCAGTGAGTGAGTAAAACGATGAATGAGTTATGATTTATGGGCTTGAAACTTAAATCTACTGACAGAGACATGTCTGTTATTTACTTGTTTACTTACTGACTTAATCTTGTTATTCTTCGTGGAGCATAAGCCACTGATTATGATTCTCTCACCCATTCTATTCTGAGATCTCTATTACAGAAACTTTGTGGAAAAGTGTTATCAAAAAGCAACATTTTAAGAGAGTACTGTGAAAGTAATCATGCTTTTTACTGTTTTTTATTACTAGACCATCGTTTAGCTTGAGTAAGTCTACGAAGTAACATCATTAGTCTCAATAAGTTTCTTTAGTTTAATATTAGTTATCGACCAATTATATTTTGAAAATTTAATTCTGTCTTAATTAGTTATTATCCTCCTTACGGATGTACCCGTATCGTTGAACATTCTTCATGTTACTAAGGTTTCCTATCTACTTATCATCTATCTACACCAAGTCAGACTAAGTATAGGGAGAGTCCACGGGTGAACTCAAGGAAGCTCCAGGAAGCTCAGAAAGAGCGGAAGATGTCACATCCAATCACCTTTTGGAAGAATATTCCAGAATCCCTGTGTGCAACTTCCCTATTGGATAAATGCTAATAACCCCCTCTATGCGGATTGGAGGACTTTAATGATGATTTCGTTTTAACTAAAATATATAAATACCTGAGAGTTTCGTATCATAATTGACACTATTTGGAATAGCATTCCTTTCACTTGTCTTCCGTCTTCACATTTGCTATTTAAGAGTGTTCTAGCGTTCGAGTGTTGAAGTTATACGCTGTATATTAAGAATCTAAGCTCTAGATGTAACACTAAGAGTAAAATTCCCTTCGCACTGATTGGTTTGTGTTGGACCAGTTAACTTCTGCTCCCCTCTTGACATATGTATATAAGAGATTAGAAGTTACGATTCGCATATAACTAGGTCTCACTTGGTATAAAACCTAGTAATATGTTCATAATTAAGTAACGATAGTTTAAGATGTACAAAATGCAATGATGTATCATAACCTTAATCTCTATAGTTGAACCCAAAAGCACAAACATATTTTTCATAAGGAAAAGGTAATACGATGAAACAATCTCACATAGGCTAAATGATAAAAGAACGAAGCTGACAGAATTATGCAGCAGGTCAAGATTTAGCTTTACTTCTTATGTAAGCAAACATAAGCTGATAGTTAAATTTGTTGCTTAATAATTTGAATGGCATTAATTTGTATATTTACGAATAAGTTGTGTGCATATTCTTCATCCAGATAACCAAAAAAGGCTTCCTTCTTAGTTCCTTCTCAATTTTCTTATCTAAATGACTAGTTTTGGTACTTATATAGGAAGTATATAAAACAGTAGTCGACTGAGACAAAAAACACAACATAACAGGTACACTTACTTATTTTACTTCCTTACGCCTGTTACTCTCAATGGAGCATAGGCCAACGACCAGCATTCTCCAATCCACTCTGTCCTGGGCCTGCTTCTCTAATTCCATCCAATTTTCGTTCATTTTCTTCATGTCTATCTCCATTTCCCGGCGTAATGTGTTCTTTGGTCTTCCACTCCTCCTCTTTTGGCCTTGAGGATTCCATGTGAGGGCTTGCCTTGTGACGCAGCTGGGTGATTCCCTCAATGTGTGTCCTATCCACTTCCAACGCTTCTTCCTGATTTCTTTGTCCGCTGGGATTTGGTTTGTTTTTTCCCACAGTAGGTTGTTGCTAATAGTGTCCGGCCAACGGATTCGAATTATTTTGCGTAGACAACTGTTAATAAACACCTGTATCTTCTGGATGATGGAGAAAGGATGAGAGTAAGCAAGCTTGCCTGACACCAGTCTTTACTTCGAACGAGTCTGTCAACTGTCCTCCATGCACAATTTCGTATGAGATTGACTATCTTCTGAGGTACACCGTAGTGTCGAATAACCTTCCATAGTATTGTTCTGTCCATGCTATCAAATAACAGGTACATTAATACTTAATAATTGAAATGAGAACTTCTAACAACAACAACAGAATAAAAAAATACCATAAATTGAATATTTAACAAATTTACAATTAAAAGATAATTTTTTTAAAGAAAATAATTCACTTGAATCTACCGATTGATGTTTAGGACAGCAATTGACCAGTCTTTTATTCAGTTAGATGCATCCTGTACGTAATGTCTTAACACTGTTATAAGTCACAATCATTATAAGCAAAGATAGATGGTGGATAGCAGTGGGATTCACGACGCGTGTCTTGTCCTGTTTGAAACTCATCAGCGGGATGTACCTGTATCCCAGAAATGATATTCACTCTAGAACTCGAACACGGTACTGTTCATTTTAAAAGCCATCGTATTATCCACTTAGCTACTGTGTCCTGATAGCTACTTGCTTGTGTAATGAGTTAAAGTTTAAATCCTCACAGTTTCAATGTTTCCAATGACTGATATTCTAATCTTTATAAAAATTTTTTGTTCACTTTTCAATTTTAGACGTCGTCCATTAGATCAAATATTAAAAAATGCTAATAAAACTGTAATGGATTTACTTAATCAAATGATTAATTTTAATCCACATAAACGAATTGATGCTTTAACTGCACTTAAACATCCATATGTTCGAAAGTAATTCAATGAATATGATATTCTCCTTTAATTAATAAATAGTTCATTTTAAATTCTCTATGATGATAGTGTGATGTGTACTACTTTTACCGACAGATATAAGTAGTATATATCTGTAATGGAAAGTAGAATGGTAAGGAAGATTTGTAGCTCAGGTGGTTGATTTTGTTGCAGTTTTGTTCTCTGAGCTGGATGATTTAGTCGTCAAACGCCATGATACTTCCTCACTTATATCAATACATGTGGACAACTGCGGACACTCATTCGATTGGAAAACTGTGGAAATCTTGAAGAAGAGCGAATTCCAAAAACACCAGAGAGTTTTTAGAAGCCTGGCACTCAGGTCAATCAGCAATCAACAAACACATTGAAATCGATCCAATTTATCAAACAATCAGGAAAATTATGTACAAATATAGGAACAAAAATCAAACCAATGGGACACACAACCAAAACAAAGAAGTAAACAATGACAAATTTAAGGTCAATAAGAACCAATCAACATCAAGGTGTACAGAAGAAAGCTGTGAAAGGCATATGGAGAAATTCGAACACTTCACATCTATCTGAAGTTTGTGCTGCGGATGATGTCGTTCAGAAGAACGATGAAAGCTCCACGACCAAATCATCCAGCTCAGAGAACAAAACTCCATGGAAAGTAGAATCTTTACGGAGAGAATAAGAAACTGAATAGAGAAAGTAAAGCAGAAAGCAATCAAAAGTAAAAGAACAATGGAGTTTCTAAAGAACAATTCAAGGAAGATAAGCAAATAGTGTATTAAATGTATTGCTTTCGTATTTTACATATGTATTATGGGATTTCTGAGGATTCACATTGAAGTCAGTCATTAATGTACATTTGATCATTAGCGTGAGATTAGAAAAGTTGTCTAAGTAACTAACTATCATATGATTAACAGTGACTAACCTCAAGATGTAATACACAAAGTTCTGTTGACATAATGTAGTCAGTAAAAATCAAGTTTCCTAGAACTGATAACTAAAGTTCTTATGAATAAGAACTAAAGCGTAGACGACCAATTTATTGTTGAATATAAATTACAAAAGATCTTCCTAAACTATGTAAATCATACAATAAGTACTTCATTTTCGCATCATCCATCAATCGTCCCTTATAAACTTCATTGTTCCTACATTCCTGTTTTTATTACAATTATTTACTCTTCACATTCCTATTCTATTCAATATGATCTTCTCAACTTTTTGCTGCTCAACATCTCATTTTTGATTGGTGCTGTAGTGTCGGTTATTATGTTAAGCCGATATACCATATTCTAGCTTTCAGACAGCCTATTCTATTCATCCTACTTGAGTCACATTCTGATCTTGTTAATTATTCGCTTATCAATCTTGACTGTTTTTATATAAGCGTGTAGGTGTGTGCACACTTCTTATCCCACCACACATCACATGTCTGTAACTTACTTTTGTGTAACTATAATTATTGATTATCGCTTGGTTAAATGGGAGTTGGCTTGCCCGCCATCTCCACTGCACGTTGTCTTGCTTCGTTCTATTTCACTCACTTTATATACAAAATATAAGTATTCAAAAGTCCATTCTTATTATTTGACTTATTTAATTCCGTTATTGACTAACGCGATTTAAGTTGATGATTATATACGAGGATAGGCAATATATATATTCCAATAACAATCGTTCATTACGATCTCCTTGGAGTCAGATCTCGGGACACTAAAGTGGAGAGACGTTTCGACAACATCGTTCGATCTAAATGACAATTAAATAACGGGTCTTCACAGTGTAACATACTAATTATGTCTATCGACATCAGTAGCATACAACACAAACATAGCTCTTAATGTAAACCATAGACTACTATTGAGTTTGAAGTTTTATGAAAATGATCCATTCCAACTTTTTATTTCCCTTAGATACTATTTATCTCTTTAAATTACATCATTATCATTATTATTATTATATAATATTAGTATTATTGTTTTCATTTCTCTTCACTATTGAATAGATTTTTTAATCCAGAAGAAATCATGAGTAAAACACATAATGTGGTTCCACCATTAGATGATAATATTCAATTAACTGTAACTGAATACCGTAATCGTTTATATCAGGTAAAAAAAAGATAAAAAAAAACACATTAAGAAACATAATGATAGTTTCATATTAGAAAACCTTTTACTTCAATTGCTTAATTTGAAAGTAACCAGGAACTAAAACAGACTGGATTGATAATAGGTGTAAAACACAATGATAGGCAGGAAGGACCCGCAAGGCAGGGTCGTGGATGCGCACTGCTGAGCAGTCCTACAATAAGACGAAACTGCCGTCCAATGCTTACAGGTTTTCCATAGTGGTCTAGCTTGAATTGATTCATGATCTCAACTGCTGAAATTACTACAATCTCCACAAAACCCCTTCTGATAATAGATTATACATCGATTTCATTCCTTCAACTGCATGTTTCAGTGTGTCCTGATATTTGAACTGGGTTCTCGTCTAATCTCTAAGTGTATAGTCAACATTATAATTTCAATGCCCTGAAGTTATTCAGTTTATCCGACAACTATAGCAACTATGGCATCACTCACACGCTACACACTACTTACAAACCATCTTGTGAGTAGCGTCTACTAAAAATCTATATTGATAAACTAAACTCTACTATTGTGATAATCACTTGAAATATCTTTACAGTTTACTATATTGTTTATGATGAATTTGCACGATGAAATGGCATCGTTTGCCTGAACTTTAAAAGATTTAAAGAGTAAAGGACAGTTTGTGTTAGCACAGCTTATTGATCATACAATTTACTGACTTTCAACTAATAAGTTACAGAACGACCTCAAACTTGAATATCGGAATTAGTTATTGATGAACAAATTACTGAAGATTTGTGATAAGCTGGAAATGTAGATGAGGCATAGAAATAAGTTAGTTTTTTCCTGTACTCAATCTTATTTTGAAATTATGTGAAACCGTACTAATGTGTGTATGTATTTGTATTTCCTAGATGATGGAATTCAAGTTTCAATATAATAGATATTCATTAATAAAAACGCTCTTTGAAAAGATCCTTCAATTTGTTCAAATTTATTAATTGATTAGATTTTAAATCTCGGAAAGTACGGTGCATGTTTAACTCACTTTGGAAATCAGTAGCCGAAAATACTTTTATTTCAATGATGGTGATATCATTTGGGCTTGAACCCATTTCTCATCACTCTGTTTACTGAAGGTTAAGCACTGGTTAGGCGTTCGAGCGTGAAACTGAAGGTCCTTGGTTCGAATCCCGCGGGCGGGATCGTGGATGCGCACTATTGAGGAGTCCCACAATAAGACAAAACTGCTGTCCAGTGCTTCCAGGTTTTCAATGGTGGTCTAACATCAAACTGTTTATGATCTCAATCAATACTGAAGAAATATCTAGTCGAGTAGATAGTCATTATTCTCATCAGTTTGTTTAACGGTTATGATATTTGTGATAAATCATAAGTTTAAGATTTCTCGTGATTGTTGCATCTGAGCACTTTAACATTTGAATAATAAGTACCGAGTTTATCTTTCACTGTTGACTTGCACATTCAAACGTAATTCAGTTCTATTGCTGAATCCAAAATGGGAATAAACTTACACAGCTCCGTGATTCATTGTAAATAGCCATAATAAACTCCATTACCAGTGCTTTGATTTCATTTACCATACTTTATTCTTTAATCAAATTAACGTCTTATTAATTTTCGAAATAAATTAAATAATTACACAGATAATTAACTCAAAGAAACTACGCAGACATAATCGAACTAAGGCGATGGATCAATTACAAAATGCAATTCCGAATACAACACAAACAGAGAAGAGTGATTGTGAACTGACTGTTAGAAATCAAATAGCTGTGAATAAAATCACATGTTCCGAACTGAGAAATAATCATTTGGAAGGTGGAAAACAGTTAGAACCTAATCAAACACCTTCAACTATGAATGTTAACCATAAATCATTCATTCAACCGGTAAATCGTACCACTCCTGACCAAGAATGTCATAAAAATTCTCATTTAAATGTTTGGAACCCTGAAAATATGAGACCTATATCTGATTTGGCTACATATACAGTTAAATCCAGCTCTTCATTATCTGTGGTCAGACCTTGTTCTCATACAGAATCTATGACGAATGTGAACAATGAAGAATTGTCATGTGTTGGGTAATTTCTTTATGTTTTGTCTTGTAAATTGTACTACCTAATTTTTATTTAAGTAGCATAACTTGTACAGCAGAAATCTTGGGAAGTCAATTGATGGATAGTAGTGATAACCACGACTTGCGTTTCATCTCACTTGAGATTCATCAACTAGACAAACGTGAATCCTAATATTGATCTTCGATTGTGACCAAACTCGTATCATGAATTCCGCTTTTAGCTATGGCCTAACTTCCTTTGAATATGTGACCAAGTGACCGTGTTTAGGTAGCTCACTCAGGAAATACATTCAACTATAGAGACTGATCAATTGCAGTCCTCAAAACCAAACAACAAGAAAGTACAAACACACACATAAATTTCTTGTTACTAATGAAATATGAACAACTTTTCTGGTGAAACGTTCGTGGTCAAATTGATTTATATAAGGAACACATTGATTTGGACTCCATATTACAGAGTAACCCATAAATACCCTATAAATAATGATATATGATTCCTAGTTGGGTTGTTGAAAATGCCAAAAGTAATTGATCAAACCATAAACGTTGGAACTTGTGCATAATTTTAATCAGTCCTCCACCATGTAAACTTTAATATCCAGTGAAATTTGACTTTTTTCTAGTTTATTATTTAAAAATGACTGTAGTTTGTATCAAAATAGTGGTCCTTACCTTATTATACGATGGTTAATCTAAAGACTTAGGAAGCCATTATTTTATATACTTAATTTATGGATTGACTGACGCCTACATTACGGAAGGCAATATCCCTTTGAAGAGATGAGTTATTAGTGAACAGATTACTTACTTACTTACTTTGGTATGTAGATGAGGTGTCCTTCTTTCTAGTCCATCAGCAATTGTTCTTCCTTTCAGATCCTCCTTAATAGAATGTGGTGTATGTTTGAATTTAGTGCTTCCATTGGTTTATTAACAGGTTAAGATTGTTTCAAATTATAAGTAAAAGCTCACATAACTTTAGATCAAATATTACTTACTTTACTTATGCCTGTTACTCTTCGTGAAGGAGCATAGGCCTCTGACAGACAGTTGTTTTGAGTTCTTCAATTGTAGGAATGAGGCCCTTGCTTTGCCAGTCCTTGCCTTTACGTTTGCATCTGAACCTCCTTGTTCATCGATGATGCTTCCCAGGTATGTGAAGGATTCTACATCTTCCAGAGTTTTGCCATCAAGAGTGATTGGACTGCTATTCTCCGTTTTGAATTTGAGGACCTTGGTTTTCCCCTTGTGTATCTTGAGGCCTACTGATGTAGAGACTGCCGCTACACCCGCTGTCTTTATCTGCATTTTTTTCGTGTGTATTGGATACGAGGGTTAGGTCATTAGATCAAATATGGTTGACATCAAATATTTTCTTTATATCAATTTTGTTTTAATACATCAATCGAAATTTATTTACTGATTACATAACACAATTGAACGTCTTTTTTTTCATTTTTCAAGTGGGCAAAATTATAATGATTCCTCATGTGAACATGAAAATATCAACAGTACACATACAGTAATGGTAAAACCATCTGACATGGCCAAGTCGTCATTCGATCAAAAATCTTCTAGTAATCATCTCAACACTTCAATTCTTAATAAGGAATCAAGAATATGCATTTCTACAAGTGATTGTTATCATGTCAATGAAGCTGATAATAAAACATTCAGTCATAGTAATGGAAATATATACGAACGATGTAATACACCAAGTAATTTACGTAGTAAACAAGTACGTTTTTCATATCTTTTTTTATTATAATGACAGTTTACTCACACCTACAACTGTAAAATTTGTTTTACCTGATCACTGTCATCATTCTTATGTAATTTCATATGATACTGTCTAGTTATTCCGTTAAAGGTTATGGTTAGAACAAGTAGGATGTATCTGTATATGAAACACGAACGAAGAAAAACATAACAAACATTAAAGCATTCAGAAAATACTAGAAACTGAAGAAAAGTTTGGAATGTGAGGTAAATAGTCAGTCAGTCAACAACGTAGAACTTCGTACGTACATACATCAGTTCGAGTTGCCATACCAAACTAACACAGAGGTATATATCTGCCGATTCAAAGCTTAGTGTGGTAAATGTAGTAAACACATAGACAGTAATCGGAAAGATTAGGGTTTGAAGAGGTTATTCAGGGAGTATAATCTAGTAGAATGAATTTGCAAAGGGGAAGAAAAGGACATGAAGAATATAGAAGATTAATTTTAGGGAGAACACAAAGAGTGGATACACCTCAGCCATTGCAAACGATGTCGAGCCATGTCATCCAAGGTCTCTAACCATCGGTTGCTATCGTCTCGCGGATCCCAACTAGGTAGTCTACACCTAACAACATGGCTCAGTCCACTTGTCAGTGACTTCATGGATTTATGCCATGTTTTGGTCTGGACGCCCCTAACTTTCTTCCAACCTACTCCTATACCAGGAAACATCGCACGTCGAGGCAGTCGGTGGTTGAGCATACATAACACGTGACCAAGTCATCTCAACTGATGAATTTTCATTACTTCATCAATTGATTTGCCATCCTTACCTATAACCCGTTTCCTAACAACTGCATTAATTACTCGGTGGTCACAGAATACACGAGGAATGTTTCGAAGATATCTATGGTCGAATACTAGTAGCCTACGAATATCCTCTACTCTTACCGGCCATGTTTCACAGCCATAAAGTAGGTCGGAATAAACTGCTACGCAGTAAACCTGTCCTTTGGTTGGTAGATGAACTATTGTAATTTAAACAAAGATAAACACAACAAACAAACATTAATGCATTGAGAAAATAGTGGAAGCTGAAAAATAGTGAAATATGAGATAAATAAACGGGAAATGACCGAAAAATAAATGGAATCGGTACACTTATTGAACATTGACAATGTTGAGATGATCTTCAGCCAGATTTGAAATATTTTTGTTTTTACTATTCACACGAAATTGCATCCTGACAGATTCAGTTTTGATAATCAAATTATTCCTTGATTATTTGCTTGTATTATTTTACAGAAACTAAATGGATCTATTCAAAATAATTTAAATTCTGGAATTAATCAACCATATAATGATCAATTGGATCCACAAACGATGAATAATGATACAAATAGTATTAATGGTACACATGACACATGCAAGTTGAATGGATCCAGTTCAATTAGTAGAATTAATAATAATAATTCATTCAGAAAATCATTTTCTTCCTTTAATTTACCATCCTCCTCATCATCATCACCATTGTCAACATCCATAATTAAAAATAAATTCGATCAATTGAATACTAATCTGATACAACCTAATGAATCATTGAATCACTCCTATGGCAGTTATCAATATCAACAACAGTCAGTAAGCAATTCAACACTGAACTGTAATTCAAATGAACAATGTAATTTAACATGTTTTTTTTAAAATGTTCATGGCTATTACTTATTGTACTGGTGTGGTGTGTGCTTGTGAAGGCTCAATTTATTGAGATAAAATCTGTTAACAATTGTGATTTACAGTTATTCTAGATATAACCGTCAAGTAGTGTCATACTATTTGAGCCTGTTGGGTATTTAAATTGTGGAAATCTCTTTATTGCTCTGTTCAAGTGGGCATTGATGAAGATCTCCATAGTGACAATGGAAAATTGGATTCAAGTCAATAATGTGTACTATTAGGTGCCAAATCATTTGTCTATTAATTAAGTGGACATAGTTAGAAAAGAAGTTTCTGAGTTTAACCCGTAGCTGTGGTATGGTTATTCACTGATTACGAAATATCTATTCAGTGCCAGTTGTCATTTAATATGACTTCAACTGATATCAATCACTAGCGAGACTAATTTATGGGCGACCTTTGAACGAATCCTAAGTGACCTTGACAAACATTAGCCAATCAGTAAACAGTCAGTATAGAGTAAAAAGATGTTATACAAAATCAAGGAAATAAAGTGGATACACTTCTAATACGTGGTTCAAAAACTTGTCAAGGTTAGAAAGTGGTTCACAGGTTCTTAAATCGTAATACGTGCCGTAGACGAGATCATCCATATGGGTACAGAATAGTCGGCCTCTGGAGTCTCAAAAACTCTTTCAACCTCGACCGCATAGCTTCAATATTGTTTATGTGCACTCCGGTTGTTGAGTGCACGAAATGCAACTTATGGATAACAACACGATGCACATAACCAAGCCTATGAAGGAGTCTGTACGCTCTCCAATCATCCGTATATATTGTAGTACCTGGCTGCAGCCAGTGTTACGGGTGCTTTTATTATCCAGTTCGCGATAATTGTCGTGATTTGCCTTAGTTAGGAATTATATATGGGGTTTTCATCACGAACTGACATCAGCTATATTGCCAGAAATTTATTTAGCTAAATGGATGAAAGGCTTTCGCGTTAAAATCCGAGATCTGTTATCTTCTACCTGATTGATTCCTTCACAAATTATGGTCTTGGCGTTTTATTTGTTATAACCGCTCAATTATCATGTTTTGTACAAAATTCCCTGTGAACCGATTGTACGTTAGCATTAAGCTCTGAAGTTTGCGCCGTAACCTTGAAATGTCTAAAACGCCTTTGATTGGCTCGTCCATAAATTAGAGTCTTACCCAATCACTAGTGAATAATGTTTTCTCTTTTTTTGGAAATAAAATATTCTTTTATATTCAGTTTTCCTTTTTTATCAATACTCATAAGTAAACATCAACTGTACCATGAATAACTCATTGGTTGAAATGAAAAAACCGGAAAGTTTATTAGATAAATCTGATCAAGAATTTGAGAATCCGTTTGGAAAAACATTGATCTCGATCAATAATAGACTGGTAAGTTTTGAAGAATTAACAAATTTATGAAAGAGAGATTTTGGATTATTTTAATATTATACTTAAGATACTTGCTAAGGTGAAAGTTAGGTTGAAGATGATCTTCTGTGAAGACCGATATCTTTTAAAGAACATTGAATATTAGAGGGCATTGAATAACTGTTTTCTCCCAATATGTAACTTCTCAATAATCCATTGGCACTAACTAACCTAGAGTTGAATATCAGATTTCTTGATCAATGTGTGTATACTTCTAAACATTAATTAAAAATCAAATGATCTCTACAAGCTAAAGTACACTGTTCAGTGGTTTTGTAAGTGAACAACTTCTTCTTTGATCCTGATATGGTCTATTTCCATCAGTCATGACTGCGTACTAACGATTTAGGAATTTACCCCAGAGTTTGTCATCAGTAGTTATACGATTTTAGTTCGGCTGAGAGATGAGTGGAGTGAAGATTATTAAGTTCTAATTCAGGTCTGTCACTTGTAGTTATAGATTAGTGTCTTAGGTCATATTTGTGGTAGGGTGTGTTGTAACTGTTGATTTAACATATTTTTCACTCTTAGCGGTATACTACGCTAATACAATAATATCATAATTAGGTTGGTCTATGTGATCAAGTTTATATAACCTCTAGGTTGAATGCCTAATTGAAATGCTATACATAAAGTAGATTACATTATATGAGATACGTAATTTACGATTAAGAATAGAGAACCACAGTAATTCTAGACAATACTTTATCACACGCAATTACAAGCAGTCTACACTTAATGGGTCCAGAGTTTAAATCAATACGAGGAAAGGAAATTACATTTTCAGTCAGTAATTTGTATCTTTTTTTATTTACATTCTGAGACTAGTCACATTTACTTTCTATGTCACACATCAAGTTGTGGATGCATACTTCTGAAAAGTTCTGTTATGAAATGAAACAGATCTCTATTAATTTCTCATTTCTGATAATTTGCTAATTAATATCAGTTACTGGTGGAAACCATAATGCTACCATCCTAATTTTTTGTACATTTCCTTCTATGTGTTATTTAGAATCATTTACTCAAAACTAATTATCCATCTTCATCAACAGTGATAACATCATCATCATCATCATCAGACTGGCTAAAATGTCAAAGTCCTACACCGATTAAATCAAAACCATCATCATCGTCATCATCATCATCAACAACAACAACAACAACAATGTCATCATCATATAAATGGTTGAATGCAAATGATAACATTGAACAGAATAAATCGAAGTTTGTTACCATGAATAAAAGTCATAAATATAATTTTAGTAAATCAACAAATAATTTATTAAATCATTCAAATATCTTGAATAATAGTAGTTCATTAAGCAGTGGACAATTAACACCATGTCAAATTCAAACAACAACTAATTTAAATGAAGAACGAAATTATAAAAGTATATCTGAGAATAAGATTAATGAGGTATATATCTATGTAGATTGTGTATAGATTATAATAATGTGAATTTTGACTGAAATATAAATCTCGCGATGAGGGATCATGGATCCTCACTGCTGAGGGATCCAACAGTAGGACGAAACGTCCGTTCAGTGCTTTCAGGTTTTTCATGGTGGTCTAGCTTCAATTGACACATGGATTCAACTATTGAATTACTTAAATCTCCACAAAACTCTTTTCTGATAATAACACATATCGTTATCAACTAGACATAATAGGTCAGTAAACACTATGTGCATTTGATACATTTAGGTGTGTTAAGAGAAACGATATTATGGTTGTTATTAAAGAATATTAAGTTGGATATTGAGTTTGAAATTGAATATGACAGATTGACTTTCTTCAGAAAACTAGCAAAACTAGTAATCACTGTCTAACTGTTTCGTTTCAGTGTAGGACTTCTTAGTATTGCATATCCATGACCAAACAAAGCGATCTCATTCAGGATTTTGAGACCTAGGCAATAAAACAGGATGACTACTAAATAAATAAATATACGAAACAATCAGTTGAACGCAAGTTATAAAAATATGTATATTGGTAGGTGCATTAGTCTAACTGTATCATTGTATAATTGAGGTGAACTCTAGGAACTCTAGGGAAAGTAATACTGAATATGCTTCCTACGTACACAGAGACTCTAATTCTTCTACTTTTTATGGATGTTGGTTTATCCATTCAATGAACTTTGAACTTTACCACTTTGAATGATAATAGTTATAATAACAATAAATAGTTGAATTCATGTGTCGATTTAAGCTAGACCACTGGTGAAAACCTGGAATCACTAGATAGCCGTTTCGCTTTAGTATGGGATTCCTCAGAAGTGAGTATCCATAATATCGTGTTCGGAACTCGAACCTAGGATTTTCGGTCTCGTGCGCGAACGCTTAACTTCTAGACTACTCAGTCAGAAGGTATCCAGCAGTGTTAATTTTTAACATAAAATGCTATGTACACTATATTGCAGTCTTTTTTGATGAATCGTCTTAATTATTATTTCCAGTTGGATATACAAAATCGACGATTTGCCTCAGCTCCCTTATTACCTGCACCTTTATTGACTGGAAATATCATACGAAATCGACCAGTCATTAACATCACAAGTACTACGACTACTACAACTACTACCAAATCTACTGGTGATATATTCAATTCAACTAAACTTAATTCTAAATCATATTTAATTAGTTCAAATACTGGTTCATCATCAGTTATTCGATTACATTCATCTAGTGAATTAAATAATTTATTTCAAGACTATAGGCTACGTAGAACATCTAAGAGTACTTCGATAGATGAATCAATATCTCCTGGTTGTGTTTCATCTAATGATATCCATACTAATAATCAACGGCATACGAATATCAATAATCATCATACTACTAATTTGGCACAGTTTTATCATCCAAGTCATTTACGAAATGACAGTATGCAACCGAATCTCAATGGAATTCATGGTCAGCACAGTGATTTGGGGAAATCATCTGTAAAATATATGTCGACAGCCTCTAATATATTAGACATTGCCACAGAGGCTTCAAAGAATCCAAAGATACAGTTAAGCACAAGCGATAGTCAAGTGAGTGGATTTAAGTATTAATTACATTCTAAAACTAATCATCAGTTTCATGAGTTAGTCTGAATCTTACTTGTTGTCGATTGTGTAAATTTAGACCATATTCGATATAACTAACTTAACTATGTTGTTCGGCTAATAATCTCAATCTGGAAGAGTTAAGCCGGAATGGTACAAACGATGAATCGATGCAATCTTAAGTTAAAGATCCACTATCTAATACGTCTTTATCCTGACTCACCTTGATACGGTGTTGGGACGGTACTATTTATTTTGATATATCAAGACAATATCCCTTCTTAAGCTAATTTTATGTTTAAAAAGAACATATCCGTCGGTCAGAATGTATCGAGATTATGATCAAGCTGTTGGTTGTTTTTCGTCTTCCTCACTGTCTGTCAAGTGGACAACTACCTATCATGATTTTGACTCGTTAGTTATTTTCATTCTTCTATCCTTCTCTAACCCCCTGATTATTCGTAATCTCATTGGATAATTGAGGCCTCGGACCACTTTATGGTGCCATCTTTCCTATTCTTCTGTAGACACATATTTTATCATACAACCGTACATATGGATGCACAGCTTAAGTAAATAATTTTGTCGAAAGTAAAATTTTCTCCACTGAATACTCTTCATTGCTGTCCAATTACACAATGAGTTACTTCAAATCTTGATTACTTCAGTTTGTATCTATAACGTAGTAGTGATGGTTTGCAATTTCTCGTTGTTGAGATTCACGAACAAAACTGAATAACTACTGTTACCAGATGTAGACCTTAAGCGAATGAACTTGATGCAGCTTCATGTCACTATTCTTAGTATATTTTATGTGTACCTAGTAGTGGAATTTATAACTGGGATTCCACCATAGCTAGGACTCGTCAACTTGATGTGTCTGCATCATATTGTTGATATTCACACTAGAACGTGAACCTGATACTTTTCCCTCAAATGTTTATGAGTTATCTACTTAACTAAGGATTCCGGATAGCCACTTAATTTCTCAATATGTACACAGTTATTTCTAACGGTTCATAATTTCTCATAGTTAAAGTTCAGGACTGTCATCAATCGGACCATATCCTATGTATCTATAAGGTTGTGGAATAAAATATAACCAGTGACCAGTAAAATTTGTCATTCCTTGTGGTTGATGTTTAAATACAATAAAAACATTCATTTTCTGTTAGTCAATGCATTTCATGGAAGAAGGATTGTACTATATCACAACTTTATACAAGAAATTAAGAGTGGAAAGTATCTACGACCAAGTATATTTCAACGCTGTAAACCATTTAAGTAGTATTGCTGAATCATTTATCGCTTGTTTACTTTTGAAAATAAAATTTTAATGACCAAATGTTAATGTTTACTAATTAACATTCATTTAGTAGTGCAAGTGAATCAAGTAACAATGATATTTCGAAACTTACCCCCTCCCTCACCCCCATTTTATTTCTGATTAAACCACCCAAGTGTTTTTTTTTTCATGCACATAGTTCCTTTTATTATATTGAAGGGAGCAAGAACAAAGATTGGTGCAGAATGATATGAATTTATTTTATTTCGTTCGGTTCTCATCAGCTACTTACAAGGTAGAATATATAAAATTCAACATTACTACAGATATTGACATACTTATACACAAGAGGGTGATTACTTACTTACTTACACCTATTACTCCTAATCGAGCATAGGCCACCGACCAGCATTATCTAACCCACTCTGTCCTGGAAGAGGGTAATTAAGGCTGAATATATGTATCATGGTGTAGCGAAGATCTCAAAAGAGTTAATGAAATCATAAAATTTTTGTCTCGAATAGATTAAGTTTTCGATGGAAAGTTCCGGAACATTAAAATAGTGATTAGAACTTATGAAAATACATTAATGGTAATAAAGAAAATATGAATTGAAATCAATCAGTTATGTATGACGCTAGTTAAACTTCAGAAACAGTTGGAATAATGATGCAATAAATAAATAAATAGAAATAAATGAATGAAAACAGGGGGTTATTGTTACCCTGGTAACAATAACCCCTTCGCTATATCATGATTATTTACTCATCTTTAATCACTCTCTTATGTATAAGTATGTCAATATCTGTAATGATGTTGTAAGCAGCTGATGAGAACCTAACGAAATAAAATGTATCCATTTATTATTCTGCATTAATCATTGTTCTTCCTCTCTTTAAGTGTTTGTTAATGATTTGTTTAATACATAATCTTGTAATGTTGTCATCTGTTTAATCATTAGGTAAATCACGTCATTCGAACCAAATTTCTATCCAATGGAATATCCAACAATACCAGTAGTCATCAAAAATCATATCGTACACTTTTACCATCCACTAATTTAGGACTTCAATTTAATACCATATCAGATAGAACAAAATGTTCCCATTTAAAACAATCCCATATAAATATCAACTCAACGTTAAATGATACAAATAAATTGAATCATGAAACATTATCAACAAACACAAAATATACACCATTGATAAATCATAATCGACAACGTTTAATACCACAACATGTATTGTCACGTTTAAAATCATTGAAAGAAATGAACAATAGTGAAAATCATTACATGTAAGGTGGTAACATCCATATTCACCATAATTGATACCACTGTGTGATAACTTTTCAATATTATTAATGTGAATGATAATGAGAATAAGTCTTTTTTTTATATTGTACACTTGATTTAAAAAGAAAACATGGATTATGATGAACACTTCTATTAGTTGTACTTGATCAGAACACATTTACACATAGATTCGATTGCATTCAATATTAAATGAAAGATTCTATGACATTCTACTGGAATCCGTTGAAATACATGGTCACATTGATTTCATTGATGTTACAGAGAAAAATCTAGAACTAAATCAAAATGAATGATGATTAAGCATTGATGATATTGCTAAGTATGGTGTTTCAAAGACACCCTATTGATATGACTGCATGGAAACATTTTCGTTTTTTTCGGTCATAAGAGAACTCACAATTATTTAGCTGCTTATAAATGTTTATTGTAAATATTATTCAACTTTTATGTGGTTTCTATTTATCTTTATTCTGATGAAGCATGTTTTGCAGTTGTTTCTCTGTTATTGTACTGTGAAACCCTTAAATATTGAATTGAACTTGTTTCTATGATTATGGTAATAAACAATATGTTTTTAGGTTTATGATTAAATCTAATGAATTCCTATTTGATGGTCAAATCTATTTGATCTATTCAATTGTTTGGGATGGAGTCGTAAATCTAACAATTGTTCGTATATCATAGTATAATACTTCTCATCAAGTAATCGGGTCACAATCAAATCAGTGTACAGCCCTATGCTAACCCCTTAAATTCATTGGGAGATTTGGAAATGTTAAGTTAGTTACCTATCGTCCTAACTGAAGTAAGCAAACAAGACAAGATTTTTGATGGAGGGTACCTAAGACCTGCAAGTTTAAACAACAATGACAGATCGCTAATTTTTCTTAAACTGTATCTAATGAAATGACCTTGAGTTGACATCTGAATACAGTGTAAAAGGTAAGAAGCTCACATTAAACAAGCTATTGTCAATTGCAGTACGATGTTTTACAAACATTTCAAAATACAGCAAAAAAGTCTTCCAAAAGTGATATTCATTTTCCTTATAGTCAGTAGCTTCTATTTAGGAGGTGAGCACAAGCTTTACTGAACTGGAATTAATGTACATTTCGACTTCATACGTGCTGATCATATTCAACGATGATATGTAGAAGTTCAGAAAAATGAAGAAAGTGAGAAAAAACCTAATTCTCAGTGTTCATGGTATCGTTCATGTGCAAAGCACTTGATTTTCAAGCTAATGTGAGTTAAGCTATAAATTAGCAAGTGAAACTTGATGTTTGTTTCATCAATACCCAGATGCTGATCAACAAAACATAGCTACTTTATGCCACTGTTCCGAAAACACAAGTAGAGATAATCGAATGTATTTGATCACAAATAACAGAATCTCGTACTATAATCTGATAACCATACAGTGAATAATCCATTCGCAAAATGTTCATTATTTGTTTCAGACCTCATTGTTCTTGCACTTCCACACCAATTGCTTTCTGTTCTTGCTTTTTCCGCCTCGATCTTCTCAAAATTCTGCTGCCAGGCATTTCATTACTCATAGGCGTTTTATGTTACTTATTTCGAAATAAGTAGCACACACCACAAAATCTTTAGTTAAACGATTATATTAATACACCATTTGGAATAATGGCTAACAAAACAGTCTAGGAAGGATAAGTTTAATGTTCAGAGGGATTTGTCAATATTGATGTTCACATCTTCACCTTGAACTCAACATCTGTAACCTTAAACATTAAACTATACTAAATAATGAACCACTGATCAACAATAACTAACTACTTATTCAATGTTTGCATGAAGAATTATGATGTCTAAATAACAATTAACGGCATCATCGTATGGGTGGTCTGCTTCCGGTGATCCACAACTTCGAGAAATCAGTGGGTCAATCCACAACTTTAGGATCTAAAGATTTCAAGTTCCTGAATGAAATAATAAACTCTATACTGCCAATCAACCATACGATATAATGGGGGTCAGATTACGGGCCACTAAATGTTATGTAGAGGGGTGACCAAGTTACAATTAAATCGATTGGACTTGATCAATCGTATTATGAACTAAACGAACATGACTTTTGTCACTACTCAGTATTTAAACAGTTACTCACATGACTCATTGACTGAACCATCCGTTGACTTCTTGTTACATCTGTCTTGTTAATAAATGCTTTGCTCTTATATTGTTGGTCGAACAATCTACGAAGAAACACTTCGAGACTCAGTCGAATAAGAAGTTAAGATGTTGAAAGTTGACTCTGATATCAGAACCCACAAATCTGCTCAAAGATAAAGTGTTAGCGGGATATGGATTGGATTAAAGCATGTTCTGTGTACGATTGTGTTGTAGCACTCTGACTATTTTCTAATGAATCAGCGCCAGAGAACACTTAGAGAACACTCTTGAATCTTCTTATATAAAAAATCATAAATCTACCAACGTTTTTCTTATGGTGGCTCCTACTTCCATCGGAGCTTGTTATTTGGAATACAGTTACGTTTCTGTTAAACCGTGTTGTGATTTAGGGACTTGTTGAGTGAAGTAGTGTTCAAGTATACTGAGCATCAAGTGTAGCTGGATAATAATAAGAGAATTTATAACAATGTGCTAGAATAGATTCTCATACTAGGACGAATTAACTTGTTAGTTTCTAATGGTTTAAGAACTAAAATTGGTTGCTGAAATAACTTGTAAAATCCACCAATATAATCAAACCCTGCACGTCAAGAATATCCTTTATTCTGGTTTTCGACGTTATTTCAGTTAGTGTCTTATCACACCTCCCACCAAACAGAAATTTCGGTTAATTATGTGAAAGGTGATGTTGAGACATTTCATACAACAACTAATCACATTCTTAAAGACAAATGATTATTATTATTATCTATCAAAGTGAAAATATTCACTCAAGATCTTATCAGCCCATAGACGCTTAAGAAAATGGATAACAGCAAATAAATTCTTTTAGTAAGCAATACGAGGACGTTTGTAGTGTCAGTTATTATTTTAAGCCCATATACCTTATTCTAGTATTCGGACAAATCAATCTATTCATTCTACTTTAGTCATATGTTGACCTTGTTAGTTATTCGCTTACCAGTCTTCATTGTTTTTATCTGAGCGCATATGTGTGTACACTTCCCATCCCATTCATCACATGTCTGTAGCTTCTTTTTGTCTGACTATAAATATTGAGTAATGCTTGACTAAAAGGGAGTTGGCTTCTCAGCCATCCTCCCTGTGTGTCATTTTGCTCTGCTCTGTTTCATTACCTTCATATACGATATATATGTATTCTCAAGTCAATTCTCGTTATTCGACTTATTTAATTCCGTTATTGACTAACGCGATTTAAGTCGACGATTATATACGGGAATAGGCGATAACAGTCATTCGTACGATCTTGGAGTCAGATCCACGGGCCACTAAACGTTTTGCGGATGCAGCTTACGAAGGACTTGTCCCTCTTTTTCTATTACGTTTACTCTTTGCTGCCCTGCAAAAAGGAAAACGGACTCACGTTAGTAACGTTGTATGATATAGTTCCTGATATTGTTCCAAGTTAGCAAGTCCATAACTTGCACCTTATCCATCTGTCCTTGAAACTGCAGAATTCTAATGTCCAGTAAACTTGTAACGAGTTCGTGTTAACTAGCTGATTGATTTGTACTCGTTTTGTATCGTCCAACGCTGGCGGTCTACCCTTTTGACTGCAATAATTATAGTAAACGGGATAGTTAATTGAGACATATTATGTACTGTATATAAGCGCACGTATTTCATCATAATGAATTTACAAAAACCAAGAAATATCATACAACGAAGTGGGAAAATGGTTTGCTTGAATATAAAATGTTGTGAAAATGTGAGATTAGAATGTGGCTTAGTGGTGGCTAGTACTATTTCAAACTCATATAGTCTATTTTAGCTTCCGGACAAACCAATTTATTAATTCTTCTTCCCAAGCCACGTTCTGAACTTGTTGATCATCCACTTATTAACTCTGTCTATTTTTTATATGATCTGGTGTGTTTTAATTATGTACCTTATTCATTAAGCGTCCATTACATATTTTTGGTCTGACTACAAATATTGAGTCACGCGTGGACACATAGAATTGGCTAACTCCCCTTCCCCACTGCGCATCACTGCGTTCCGATTCGCTTCGCTTTCTGCACTTCGTTTCTCCGATCATCTGTTCACATAAACAAGTCAATAAAATATGCGTATTCAAAATTCACTTTCGTATTTGACTTATTTTCTTTCGTTGTTCTCAAACTCAAGTTAATTCGGCAGAAATATACGAGAGTTGACAACGTGTATATTTCGATAACAATCAACAGAAGATTTATCTGGAGTCAGATATAGAGCCACTAACTCAGACTGTGATAATACTGTAGCGTGGAGTCGAGTCACGGTTGACTATGAACACCACTACAAGAAGAGTGCCTACCAGAAAATCAGAAGGCAGATGCAGTTTGTAACACGGTTCATTCGTTGACGATCTCGTGGTATCGAAAGTATACCGGGATCGTGCCAAAGAAAATACAAGCGGAATCAATGAGAAAACGTGCGAGCGTACAATGCCACAGTCAACGGAAGAATAATGGAGGGGTAATGGGTGTCTTTAGTACAGTTAAACAAACAAGAACAGTGAAAAAATCACTGGTACAATTGGTTGTAGTAATAATTGTTCCCATTAAACCAATCACGTTCTCTTGCTAAAATTAGGTCACCACACTACTTCGATGAAGAACTTTCCACACTCACTGTTTCTGACACACAAATTCAGCGTAGCGTAATCAGTCGACTTACGACGCAGTTTTTCACTGTATGAGTTAATTTTGAAAATTCAACGTAATTGGTTACAATTTAGATTGCCATTATGTATTACAGTCACAGTTAGCATCAAATATATTTTTCTATCTCCAGTATGACTGTGTTCTTTAGAAACGCTAAACGGCATACTGCTGATTGTTACGATACGACGAGCCAGTATAGACATTGATGCGACTTCCACATAAGATCTCATAGATAAGGTGGTCACAGCATGGCAAATCTACAATTCTAAGATAGGGTCCGTCACACTTAGGCTGGGGATAGAATAAAATATTTTAATGTGAATAGGGATTTTTACAAAGATGGCCACACCTGCAAAGCTGAGCCATGCCATCTCGATCAATTGTTCCTGAGTTCATCATCTCTGACCTTCCCCAAGTGTTCTATGTTGAGCGTTGATCCCATCAGTAGTCATATGTTCAGCTCCGAAAATCGTGTGGTTAGAAGCCAACAGCCCTACAAGGGCATTACCATTGCATTACGTTATAATCAATTTGCTAACTCATCATTTTTCTCAACCAACGAAATTGTGTAAAGGTGCATGCTTAAACGGGGAGAATTACCACTTTGATAAAAGTTAGACTAGGTATTCAACAATGTTGAATTGGATTACAGTTGAGAAACAGAAGTGTTGGTATGTACTAAAGAAATCATCACACATCAAAATTTTGACGAAAACGTTTTTAGATAACTCTTCTCATCTAGGTACCCATAACAAACGTAATCAATTCTCCATTCACTTGAAAGAACTCTGTG